AATTTACAACGTCAACTTATCTCATACACGTATCCCTTCCATATACAAACGTGACTATGCCGTACAACACAACTGAACCAAAAATGGCTATTCCGGTTTAAACAATTTACAAAAACGTATTATTATTATTATTTGCAAAGCATTCGCGCGCTAGTACCTAGGCTGTTAGTATGGTAAGTTACAACATTAACATGCACTACTACAGTCTGTCCGTTGGCGGTGTGTGTATATTACGCAGTAGTTGATGGGTTTCAGCCCAAATATACAGTTACAATGTCGGCCTATGCCTTAGATGATAAATATAGCGATGTATACTGCGAATAGAAATTAATTTCTCAGGAAATTTAAAGGCTGAATAGTCCACAATATCTGACATAATATGCAAATGCTAAACAACGTGCATTTGTACCGTTCACCTGCCCGCAGTGAGCTAAACGCAGCCCTGCCAGCTCATTGGCATGCTCGATGAAACGGCTTCTTCGAGGTATACTTTGAAATTCGAGGTCACCCCCTGAATGCCACGCCTCTGCTAAGATTACTAACTCACACAGAAAGAACGGGCTCACGAGCTGGCGGAAGACTGCGCGTGTGTGTATGTATGTGCCGGTGTTAGAAGCCGCTGGCTGCGTGCGCTTACGCGCTTTAAAAACACACTCGTTTGACTGCAAGCAGAGCCTGCCCCATTCGAGGAGTTCTTGCCAAGTCGGTAAACTTTAAGAGGCTGTCTCTGCCTGCATAGCCAGACAACCACAACACTAGTGAAACAAAATACACTTATCTAAATCAAAACCTATGACCTACTCCGTGGGAGGGGGCAGGAAAGACAGCAGTTTTGTTTTAGCGCAAATATAAAAAAAACAGGTTTCCCTGTTGCATAGCACAAAAAAGAGTGCTTAATCTACTAGACCAAGACATTCAGTCATTTTACCCAGTCGTGTAAATAAACTGTTAAAGTGCGATAGAAACCCGCACGTGAAACGAATGCCAATTTCCGAGCAGTACGCTGAAAGCGTTCATTTTTTGGCTAAGCCTGTAAGCAGTTGTCCTCAATATATTGGAGCACGTGAAGTGATCTTCAGGGTTACGTTTAGAAGATTTCGATTTGACGCTTAGCAACCAATCAGATCGAAAAACTCTGCGTCAACACTGGATGTGGCAGTAGGTCGGTAGTGACGTTGTGGCAGAGCAATCGCTAAGGCGTAGGTGTAATTTGGGAAGAAATCTGCTAGAAAACTGACGCGTCTGCCAGGCACATTTGAAAAAAAAGAACTACTTCCTACTACTTCGTCTTTTGCACAGGAGTCCCAACAGCCAAGTCAAGAGAACAAGAGCTCAAATGGAAGTCAAAATCTAGAGCAGACGCTTTCATGCGCGCACTATTTACTGTCTCTAGACGTGAGGAATTCTAACGATGGGCGGACCAACATTTTGCTGAGCTCACTTTCCGTTTGTAGCCTGAGATATAACAGTTTTGGTAGAGTCAAACTTTCGAGATAAAATCGCAAAATTTTAGCCAGGACAGAAAGGGAAGGGAGACAAAATAAAGATGAGGGTGTGACCCGGACGTCCATTAACAAGGGGGCTTACCTAGCGAACTGGCCAAATTACGTCCACGTTCTGCAGATACGGCACGCTCGGCAGCCAGATCCGATTTGTTACCAACTAGCACAACTTGAGCATTGTCCCAAGAGTAGGTTTTTATTTGCGTCACCCTAAGAAATGAACGGGCAAGCGACCGTTAAGATGTAGAGCACTGATGCATAAATATATGTTGTGATGTATTGATGGGGCTTTGCTGCCCGTGACTTGATGTGCTGAAAGAGATTTGTGTTTAAGCAGTTGAAAAAATATGGAGCTATTTCACCAAATAGTAAGATCTTAAAATAACCAAGGAAAGTCAGATTTTTAAGCGTTTGAAAAGGTTGCTCTAATTTATCCTGTTCGCTATCTTACTTTGACAACAAAACTGTCCAAGTACTGTTGGAAAGTCGAAAAATGCAAAAGCAGCCATATTCACGACAAATTTTCCTTTATTTACTTTTAAGATTGGATAATGTAGATAAGTTGAATAAAAACTGCAATAGTATGTTGTAAAACATGCGCGTGGAGCAAAAACTAAGAAAGTTCTGACCACAAAAAGAAGTTGGAATACCATGCAAAACAGCCAACTAGTTATGGAAATTTAAATAAACCTAACAGAGATTCACAGAGTACATCATAAATCACTGATCATGCAGACTGAATAGTTTTCGAAATCATGAAACAGCTATAAAAACACTTATTTAACAGTGACTACAGGTTTATTCTACACTCAGAAATCTCGGTGATTTTGAAAGTTAAAAAAATTAATTGCAAATGCAGAGACATTTCTTGAAAAAAAGGGTACCAAAATGCCATAAAATTTCCTTAATTAATTTGCATTTTGAAGAAAAATTAACTTATCTCAGTGGTCTGCAAGAGAGGACCAATCTGTATTAGAAAAAAGTATTCCACCTCTAATTAAATTAAGTAACAAAACGACACTGGGGTAAAAGTGCATAAACTGCAAACTGCCCCGAGCCGAATACTTCTGAGACATTTGTGATTTATTCAACTATTTAAAAAAATACTTTCCCTCGCCGATAAACTTCCAAGCAAATATTTTCCTTGTTTATGCTTTGTATAAGACTGGGCCTGTCATTTCTTAGCAAGTAAAAAGCGCAAGAAAGCAAGTGGTCTACACACAGTTTTCTCATGGCAAAAAACGCAGCCTACGGAAATTTAAGTCCACTGGGAAAAAAAATCCGTCTACCTCTTTTTACGGAAATGTTCACGGAATTGGTCTTTTTGCTTCTTCTTAGCCACAAAAGATTTCGATTCCGATAAACGTTTCACAGTTTTATAGGGGTAGTCCTACAGAAGCCCATTAATTAGTACATGTAAATGAGGTTTCCTAAGTTGCCAAATGGTTGAAGCTGAAAAGCGTGTTGCAGGTAGGTAATCAAGCAATGCAAGCTCATTTCACATTATTTTGAAAGAGACAATTGAAAGTTAGGTAAGGGGGGTCACGGTTTCGCAGTTCTCAATTCGTCATAATGCATATGACAGCATTTTAAAGCAACAGGGATGTCTTTTCTGAATACGTTATAGTCATACCGAGAAACAATGGGCGGTCTCTATCAGAAGTTAAAAAAGAAAATACTTAATCGTCAGGACAACTATAAAAGTGAAGACTTCAACACCCAAACGCCGACAATGGCATTTTTACAGCACTGTCAAAACTGTTATACCAACAATTTGAAGAATAGTTGTAAAATATGATCAAATAATACTGAGCTTAATATCATCACTTTTTGTTTTGAAAGACTTTGGTTGTCACTTTTTTATAAAGACGATTACAGTGGAAAACCTATGGCTCAGAGATTTTGGAAGTCATTGTTTTCAGCAGGGTGGATATGGATATGGAAGGCAGGGGTCACCCGAGATTGCTATTAACTGCAATATGCCAATTTACTTTTCCATACTTTTTCATTGCATTCGCTTTCTGTGTACCTTACTCTTGAATGGCCTCTGCATGAATGATACTTAGTCAACTTTGAAAACAAAATGACGACAATGGCCAGGTTAAATACATGACAAACAGTTAAAGTTAACGGGAAAAAGACCACGCTATATCTAAATGAAGATACTGTGTAATGTGTGCGTTGTAGCACTTTGCAGGACAGGGACGTGCGTTTAATTTTATTCTCAAAAAATACACTGTTCACAAACAATCAAGATGTAGGTCCATGCACGACCATGAAATAAAATTAAGGATAAACCGTGATACTTCATTAACATGAATACGATGTACACATCGTTAAAAAATATTTTTCGTTATGTCTGATTTCTTGTAACTTAAACTTTCTCCAATCCGAGGAGAGATAAAAGTGATCAACGAAAAGCATGTACGTGGAAAAGCCAAATACCTAAGACAACAGTTTCAAAAGAAATTTGCTTTTGCGCTTATGATTTTATATGTGTGGCTAACTGAAGAGTTTAACTAACGGACCTACCGAGTACCAAACATATTTCACTGACAAATAAGGTAAACATTTAATCGCACTTTCTACCAACAAGCAACTTCTTATAAATAATAATAGCGAGATGACCGCATTTAGCTTTGAAATATTAAACTCATGAAAGTTCAGAAATTTTGCCACTTTTCTTCTGCACAAAATATGAAGGAAAATAGACAACCTAGATTTTATTTAAACCCTCGAGATGATGAACGAAGTTTTTGAAAGATCGACATTCACCAAGATCTTGAATTGTTTCAAATGTAGTTTAATTGATATATTTTCCTGACCCTACTTTCTATAGAACACCATACGATATAGTGCTGACTAAAAAGGCCATTATAAAATGCTTTAAGTATAAAAACCTGATGTTGGTGCGTATAGACGTGCCTGCATTAAACCACTAGAAAATTAATACTCTCCGGTTATTTAAGTTAATCATGCAAATTTGCTGACGTTGTTTTTTTAGCAAAACAACCGACGAGCTTCATAGTTGAATATTTGTATTGAATAGGAGTGAAGCTTTGAAAAAAGAGTACAAGAACCTGCAATGCGAATTTACCAGTCACGAACTGCATTGAATGATTCCTCGTTTGTAATATCATACATTAGGATAAAACCTAGCGCACCACGATAGTAAGCCGTTGTGATTGTCCGGTAGCGTTCTTGTCCAGCGGTATCCTTTATTAATTTATGATTTTATAAATGATGAATTACCCATATTTGAAGCTTGACTCGTTTATCCTGTCTGAAGACAGTTTTTACTTTGAAATCAATTCCAACAGTTGATACGAAAGCCGACGTAAAATTGTCCTCAGCGTATCGGACAAGGAATGAGGTCTTTCCAACAGATGAATTCCCTATTATCAGGAGTTTAAACATGTAATCAAAATTTTGATCAGCGGCATCTTTTGCTGCGCTCATGGTTGTAAGAAAACGCTAAAACTTGAGAATTGCGCGTAAACGGCAGATGTACTCTCAAAGACTTGTGATATAACAAAACAAATAATAGTTCATGTCGAATTAGATTTGAACACATATACCCATGGAGTAGCTATGAACTAATCTAAGCGAACATAAAGCATTGTCACATTTTTCATGCGAATGCAATTTAGTCAAGCAGCGGTAACGCACAACCAAGTCCCCGTGCCATTAAAAGCTCAGCGCCGATTTCCCCAAGTATGCACCATATACCATATAAAAAATATCATAGATCATAAAAAAATTAAGTATCAAAGATTGTCGTCATTAAAAATGGACGAATAGAGTCAACGCCTGTGACTTTCCATGAAGGTTTCAAAGAGGTATTGAATTTGTCGACATAGACGAATAGAATAAAATTCGTTTAGATGAATGCAGGCGACCAGCCGTCGTTTACTCCAAAAGAATACATATACATGACGGCCCCCTTATTATGAATAATATAATAACATGGAATTGGTCTGATGGCAAATACTATTTTTTAGTCTGTTAGTGAGCAACTTGATGCGTGCCGGGTGTACACTTAAATGTATTCTCACAGACGGAGATCAGAAAATAATCGGGCAGAATAGCCCATGCTGCAACGATTTTGACTTTTTTACTCTCCGTCTCTTGCTCCCTCTTAGGCCAGGGGATATTTTGAGATGAATACCACGCAAAGTGTGGGTTTTAGCTTGAGAGAAAAATCATCGAGAACAAAATAATAGTGTCGTCCATTCATACTACGGACGGTCAATACGAGATCCTGTTGCAGCTGACTGTAGGAAATAGGAATTCAGTTGAGGTTTGACCGTTTATTTTAAAAATACCGTGTTCCCAGACATATTGTCCTTTTTCTCGCCACCTATGGATCTTTATTAGAAGGTACGGTCTTTGACTACTCACGGTCTCGAAGCGTAAAAATCTTTTTCCGAATTTTATCTTGTCAGCGAACACGGGAAAATCAGAATAATGTGAGAGCTAAAACTGAGTCTGTGGAACACAAGTCAGCAAAGTTACCCCTGAGGACTTCTGGCGCCCGACATGCACTCTTTGGGGCCATCAGTAAAACTGTTTGGATCCGTACGAAATAGCTTCATTAATTGCAAAACTTATGCAAGAAGAGTTAGTGAGGGGCATTATCAAATCCATTTTAAAGTCAATTTACATGATACACACAATTTGCCTTGTCACTTGCTCTGGTCCAGCGGTCAAGTGTGAAGAGAATATTAGTAAAACGGGACCTTCCACTGCGAAAGGCGTGTAAGGCATTTGAAAGGAAGTGATATTATGCGATAGACTGCATCAAAGGTCGTAATTACTTTTAGACGATCGAATTCCACTCTTTAATAGCGGAGTGATCGTTGCGGACACCCAGTGTCTAGGAGCGCTTAAAGTTATAATGTTTATGGCTCTGTTATTTCCGAGGCTAGTTCCGTTGAATGGTTGACCGGACCAGCATCCGGGCTGAGGGAGCTCCAGTCTTTCAAATTGAGCAATTCCGGTTTCCATTATTTTTTTCGGTGGAGGACTCCACTAATAAAATGCGTCACTTTGGCTCCATAAGTTGGTGTAAAAATAGTCACGAGGGACGGTAAAACCTAAGGGCAATTTTCAGCGTCATCTTTGGTTTTTGAGATGTCCGCACGTTCGACCGTTCGCAACAGGAGGGGTAGGATCCTTGTTCCGCGCGCTTTGCGTTATACCACTTAAAAGGACTTTGGAATAATCCATGACAGCGTTTAGCAGATGCTGGTCTCTCTGCCACTTGTATCTATTGGTTAATCCAGGCATCCTGTAAATAATGTACCTTTCCACGGTTTTCTTTCC